TGACCCAGAGTGTAGAAAATTGTATCTGCTGCTGGTGCATATGTATTCTCTCTGCTCTAGATTCACAGAGATGGTGCTGTGCTGTTGAGGAAGGAGGGCACAAGAGACATAACAGGCAGGCAGGAGAAAAGGTGGCATGGGGGCGTCATTTGAGCTCCCCGCCTCAGGTACCAAAATGTTGTGGGCCAGCCCTGAAAGCAATCATGAATAGCACCAACTACTACATGTGCAAAATAAGGCAAAATTTCAATGGGAAAAAACAGTATGTGATCATGTAATTAAAGACTTGTACCATAATGCACAAGGGAGAAAAATTAAGAAGGCAACCTTAATTCTGGCACCTCCTAACTTTTGAGTGCTTGACTCTGCAGCCTTAACATTCTTTTAACGTAGGTTTTTTGGATGCAATATAACAGTAAAATACTGACGAGCTAGTATTCAGAAAATTGCAGAACAAGGGCCAAACAGAATCCCTAAATGACACCCAAATATTTTGTGCTAATACCCATATTTAGACCACATTTATACCACATGAGAACTAGAACATAAGAACAGCTATACTGGGTCAGACCAAAGGTCTATCTAGTCCAGTATCAAGTCTGCCGACAGTGGCTAATACCAGATGTCCCAGAGGGAGGAAACACAAAAGGTAAACCTCACATGATCCCTTTCCTGTCACCCATTTCCAGACAAACAGAGGTGAGAAGCACCATTCCTACCCATCCTGACTACTAGCCATTGATGGTCCTAACCTCCATGAATCTATCTAGCTCTTTTTTGAACCCTGTTAAAGTCCTAGCCTTTACCACATCCTCTGGCAAGGAATTCCAGAGGTTGACTGTGTACTGAGTGAAGAAAAACTAATTTCATTTGGTGACCCCTAGTTCTTGTATTTTAGGAATAAGTAAAACTTTTCCTTATTCACTTTTTTCACACCAGTCATGATTTTATAGACCTCTATCCTATCCCTCCTTATCTTCTCTTTTCTAAGCTGAAAAGTTCAAGTCTTTTTAATCTCTCTTCATATGGGACCCGTTCCAAACCCCTAAAGAAATACTTGCATAAGTGTATATTTTGTATGTACAAATGAAAAATGTGCATGCATAAAAGGTACATATATAAATGGTGCGGATGCAATTTAAGTTTCTCCTTTTGAAATGTTACCCCATCATATAATAAATAGCACAATAAATTATGTTAGCCTTCTGGGAACTGAAGTAAGATAATATCTAGTGAAAAACTGCATAAGCAAAAAGTGGTCTCTGTTATTCCCTTTTCCTCCTGCCCAAACTGGCATTTGCATTGATGACATTTTGATACTGGCATGCAAACCAGAGAATTGGATAATCTGTAATGAAGGCTCTGATTATAGCTGGCCTTAACATACTCACACAGGGTCATAAGGGGGAAAAAAGACCTCTTAATCCCCTCTGTGGCCTACCTGGATCTTTGCCCCAGACACTGGGAAGGGACGGCTGACTTTGCTGAGCTAGTTCTTCCTATGAAGGGGGTGAGCAGATGCTGGGAACTGGGCAGAGCTTTGTTTGCACTTACCCTAACACTCAAGGGAGTGGAGCTGAGCTGGACTGCGGGGAAGGTGGAATATCTACTCCTGGTAAAAGGCTGTAGCAAATACTCCATTCCCTTCCTGCCTCAGAGCAAGGGAGAAACAGAGGAGGAATTCTAGGCTTCTCCTGGACAGCACAGAGATGTGCCTAAGGCTCCATCTAGCCATAACTGCTTTACAATACAGGACTGACATTTTTAAAACAAGTATGTGAGAAATGTAGCTGTGTTTTTTGGAATATGAAATTGTACAGCACAGGGACAAAGAGGAATTTTAGCTCTAAAATATGAGGGAACGGCACTCCAACTATGTCCCTGTTGTTCAGACTTGATTCAAGTCCAGTCTGACCCAAGGGAAATAGCTGAGTGGCTAACAAAGCACACAGGTAACAATTTACCTACCTTCCATTCTTACAACCAGATAGGAACTGTTCTACAGATTGTCATGTTCTCCTCTCTCCATCTGTCTAGGGGTACTATTAGTTACTGACAGTGTTATCTGAGGGTAGAATATAGTTCTTAGCCTTAATATCTGATTTCTTTTACAATATCCCTCACTTTCCAAGAAACAAAATAAAAACAATGGCTGATATTAATTTAAAACCTACAAGATTTTAGTCACTATTTCTCTGAGGATCTCCAGTAACTAACAAATCCTATGCAAGAGCCACAGCACAGCATGTTGACCCCTATTGATGAGCTAATTAATTATGCTGGTACAAAGTAAGGCAATAAAGGCAAAGAAAAGCCATGTTCTTTGCAGAACTAGGAGGGGGAGTGGGGAGAAAGTACATTTGCTAACTCCAACATGGAAAAAATGGTATGGCAGTACATTTTGTTACAAGTTTCCAAGAAAATATTTTAAAGATTTCTACCTCCCACCCCCACTCTTAAACAAAATGAATGTTCCTCTAAGCACAGTAGCTTTATTTCCACCAACTCAAAAGTAAATGAATAAAAAAATAGAGTAAACAAGCAGAAGGTTTGAATGCTAGAAATTGTAATTATCCCAAATAATAGGGATATGCCATATTACAGTATTTACAGAGCACAAGATACACACTACACCTTTATATTGGCGGTATCTGAAATCAAGGTTTAAATTCTGCTTTTAAAAAGGCTGCAGAGCAGCTCACTTTTGTGCTTTAGACTTAGAGAATAAAAATGATTAATTCTGCCCATCAGTGAAGTTTTTTTCCTATGATTATTACAAGCCTTTGCAGCATGCAGCATAAGAAAAATGGAAGTCATTTACAGGCTTACGTTTAAACCTTATTTAAAATCACATAACAATACTAATTATTGAACATCAGAAAGGTTTAAATAAAAAATCGGGTAAAATGCTGACTTTTAAAAACTTAAACATAGTTACATTTAACAGATTTTTGTCTTCCAGTGAATGGTTTGAAAGCTCGGGGCTAAGAAGAAATTGCCATTTCAAAATTAACAGAGGAAAATGATGGGAAAGAGAAGTAAATCAAGCTGGAAGTGTATCAGCTTATGTGAGCACCAATGATGAGCTGCACATCTGAAAAGAGCAGAATGATCAATTCATCATTATAAAGCAGAAAGAAGTAAAGAGTGCCTCAGAAAAGATTTCCTTTTGGAATCATTCTGGCTAAGAGTCAACGAAAGCTTGGCACCCAAGGGCCCAACATTGTCTGTTAAACGAACAAAACTAGACTACTCTGGAAGAAAAAAAGAAAGCAAGACTTCATCATCCCCTTACACTTCACTGTATATCTTCCCAGTGCAAATCTTGATACCAGCAATGACCAGCTAGTCTATTGGGGAAACAAGGGCACAGCCTTAGAGACATCTTGGTGAGATCTCACCTTTAGCCCTATTTCTGCAAGTTGTCCCTGTGCTCACACAGGGCACATCTATACCTACCAGAAGACTGACATTCTGGAGGTCAATCTTCTCGCATTCAATTAAGGGGTCTAGAACAAACCTGCTAAATCGAATGCTGAGGGCAGCTCCCACTGGCATCTGATACTCTTTCTTTTACCTCCTGCAATGTGGACACTGCCATGGCTCAGCTTAAGATAAGCTGGCTCCAGCTATGCATTTTGCATAGCTGGAATTGTGTACCTTAAGCCAACCTTCCAGATCCAGTGTAGACCTGGCCCCTGAATCCTACTTATTTCAGTGGGGTTCTGCTTGGTTCAGGTCTCTATCTGCATGGAACATTTTGTAGAAACATGGCTGTCACTGAATTGCAGTTGATTTAACTACTATCCTGTGCAGCTCTGCATTGGGCTGATAACATTTTCATCTTTCAGAATAGTCTTTTTTTCCCTGAAAACCCCCACCACCTTTTTGGCTAACTATTCACTTACTTAAAAGGAAAACCTGTTACTGGGGCCCACCTTTGCTTGCTGCATCGTTAGGTATGTAGCCTCATTTTATTTGTTTAATATTTCCAAAACTAGAAACAATTTGCATTTAACCATAAAAATATTAACTTTGAAATCTGGGTTTAGAGTGTGCGCACTGTAAACCCACACAGGGGAATACTTTAAGAAAATAAAAATAAACTTGCAAACTTTAAATGCACTTCAAGGGTCATAAAGCAATGGGAACAAATGCATTATTTAATCATAAAAAATAGCATCAATGTAGTGCAAAGCTGAGGAAAGAACTCAGTCTCCCAGAGGCAAAGGAGGATGGGAACCTGGAGGGTCTGACTGCTTCCAGAGCTGGACCTGTGCCTTTTCCTAATACTGCTTCTTATTAGAGAGGTAGAAAGGAGGCTGAGAACATTGGATTGTAGTAAAAACTAGCTGCAGTTTTCTAGGACATAGTGATTTAGAGACAAGAAAAACATATAAGAAATCTTAGCAAAACAGGATGAAAAACTTCTAGAAATAAACAAATAATAAATCCTGTTAAATTATGCAACATTGAAAAGAATTCCAAGCAAAAATGTAGGGGCACATCCAGCTTCCATTCAAGTCAATGACAAAATTTCTATTCACTTCAATGAGGCGGGTTCGAGCCCCAACATTGTTATGTGCTACTTTGTTACCCTAATTACAATCACACTACCACTCTCCCAACCTCATTGAGGGCTGCTTTCATATCTTACCTGACTGCCCCATGCCCTGTCTTTGCTATGTTGCCTTAATCATGCTTGTAACCTTTTAAAAATTACTTACAATAACTGCTATGTTCCACAGTGCTTACCCTGAGGTAGTTGAGGGTGAAGTTAGTCAGACCCATTCGGGTGATGTTTTTGGACAGCTGCTCCAGCACCTGAGGGTCTTGTGCCTAAGGAGGAAGGAAACAAAGAAATTTGCACTTTGCTTTTAGGGTTGTTGGGTTTTGTTTTGTTTTATTTTGGTCTGGTTTTTTTGTGGGGAGAATCTCTCTTGTGGGAAAATTACATTTCAAAGCTAGAGTAGAAAGTTAAATAAATAAAACCACTCCAGATGTCTTTTCCTGGATTTGTAACATTAAGCAATACTAATTTGTTGTTAGACAAAGTCCATTTCATACAATCTTTCTAGAATCCTCTCCACTTGCATACAATTATTATTATTATATTGGCACCTGGACACTTCTGAAATTGGGATTCCAGTGTGGTAGACACTGTACAAAAGACACAGTTCAAGATACAGGCTATCTCCAAGTTTGCAATCTTTTCATATAACACTTTTCTAAATACATAACTCTGGCTTTAAGTGACTAATCTAGATGATTAGTGGAATTTTCACCCACCTAGCTATCCATCATGTGTGTGTGTGTATTTATACATATATGAAAACAGCAAAGATGCTATAAGAGGTTGACATGCAAATCTATTCTAATAAATAACTAGCATAGGGTAAGCAGTCAGAGAAAAACAGAAGTTAAGAGGTTGAACCTTTCTAATCTGGCACACTCTGTTATGGCCACATCCATGGTCCGGCATGATTCAGTTAGCCGGATGTCCACTTATCATGGGTATGGCCAAGTTTCCTATGGTCCCATAAAGTTTGTTTACAGCCACCAGTCCTGGCCATCAGTGTTCTGTGCTGATATTTAGCTCTAATTTACTCCTAAATGTCATCTGAGAGCCCAGTAAGCAGTAGAAGTGTTGGTAATGATGCTAAACAACATTGACCTCCTGTGGTTCGGCAAATTCTCTTGTTTGGCACTGGTCAGGTTCTGAAGGTGCTGGATGAGAGAGGTTCAACCTGTATTATTCTTTTCAGCACAAAACCTTCTGTGCGCTACTTAGGTACTTCTGAAAATCTCACTAGGTGACTATCTGTATATTTAGGTATCTAAATACCTTTGAAAATCTGGGCCTGAGTTCTTAAAACATCTATGGCCCTGATCCTGCAGTTCAATGTGTGCAGTTGGACTTCTAGAAATGCCTACAGTGTTTGAACACTTTGAAAATAATAATAATACAATTAACTTCTATTTTTCTCTAATTGCTTAACCTATGCTAGTTATTTTATTGTAGTAGATTTGCATTTGAAACTGAGCTATAAAACTCAAATCTTGATTTGACTATCCAATCCTCCACAATACAAAGGTACTTTGGGGTCCTGGTTCATGTCATTACAGAAAAAAGAATTTGAATGTGACAATAAGTTCCGGAATCAGGTTCCAAAGCTTTGGTTTGGGTCTATCTCTGCCGGGAGAGGTATGTCTGAATTTAATATTTCCTGAAAGTATAAAAATCAGCATACATATTTAAGGGCCAAATTCTTCTCTCAACTAAAGTGAGGAAAGTCCACTGACTTCAGTAGAGTTGAATCAATATAAATGAAAGCAGACATTGGCCCTAAATCTTTTGTCATGCAACCCATGATGATAAAATTGGATTTGTATTAGAGTGAAGTGAAAAATAACTGTGAAATATAGTTACAATATAGCTTTACTATGAAACACTGAAAAACAGGGGTGAATGATGCAAGATACGCGTATAAATTAATGCACTTGCAGTCTGAACAAAATATTTATAGTTAATTGTGTGAGCTGTGAAATTTGCTGAAGTCCTTTAAAAACATAATCTCATCTCTTTGCATTAGGTCAAATGAAAAAAGGATTACTTACATGCATGGCTAGAATGCTGCGTGGGACTAATTCTCTGTACTGTCTAATGGTAAAGTGCCATGTTTTTATTCTCATAAGATCATCAAAGGTAAATTCCAAGATAAGACGCCCTTCTGTGCATACCTAAGATTAATAAAACACATGAAATAAAATCTTCCAGGAAATCTGTGCAGAATTACAGTATTCTCATTCATTTAAACTAAACATCAAAATATCATCGGCATTTCAGTGTTCATTGTCACTGGGTTAATTGTTTCCCTAGAAATAGAATTAGGGTAAGTAAGTTGGTAGGGCTCATAGTGGAGACAATAACTTCTTATACTCTAGATTTTATACTGTTGTGCGCACTAAATCTTATTTATGGCACATTTCTGTTTCCCTTTTGAATCACCACAGCTAATTAATGACACTAAACCTTTCAACACAGGTGACTGTTGTGCATACTTGATGTCAAGCTGCTGAACTAGTCGTTCGCAACCTTTTAAAGTTTGATCCTCCCTACTAATGGATTAATGTATAAATGGTCCATTTGCATCCACCAGCAGTGCACAATGCCCCAGCATGTTTGCTGTTAATACTCATTTTTCTGTTCTTTTTTTTTCCTTGCTGTCTTTTTCCAAGTGCTTCCTCCCCACATATACACCCACTTTTTATATTTAATCTCATTTTCTTCTCTAATTTCCATTCTGTTTCATCAGCTGCCTATTACACAGATTTGCCACTAACCAGAAAGCTACATAGAGGTCTCCCTGAGTTTATTCCAGTAGTTCCATGGAGCTGACTCCCATGTAATACTGAAGCTGAGTGTTGAGGGGGCAGAGGAGAGACCTGTATGCCAATGCTTGTACATGTGAGCTGCTCCCACAGCCTAATAATTCATATTGTACTGTGAAGGATGCTGTATTAGAAAAGCAAAGGGGTGGGTGGGCAGGTAGAAAGATGGATAAATGCAGTTGGGTACTGCAAGTAAAGGGAGGGAAAGTGGCTGATGGCCATAGAGCCGCCCACAGCTTTATCTGTGAGTGGTGTTGAATCTGAGTATCATGTGGCTGTCATGCAGTCAGTCTTTTTGAGGGTGCCAAACGCACTCCATGTAGGGTGCCCTGGCTAGTAGATCCCTGAAGCATTGTACACATTATCTGCACTGGAAATTCTTTTAAAGACAGTGGTTATGAATTTAGTCTCAAAGCTCCTGTTAGGAGTTAGTATCACTGAGGGAACCTGCAGTGAAAGAAATAATGAAAGGAGAGAGCCAGTAATTAGTGAAATGTTCTTACAGTACTGTGCACAGACAATTAGATAACCTAGTCTGCCATTTAAAATAGATGCTTATTGAAACTTTAATCAAATAATAGCTAAATTAAATAAAAATATGCTAATTACTAGTTACTCAGTTTGCACTTTGGTGTGGTCATCAAACCCAGATTTATTTAGTTTGTGACTTTTTTTCTGATTAACTGCTCATTTGACGCGATAATGGTGTCTCCTAACAATTTGACCTGCTTTAGCATCCGATTCAAAACTACTTAGGCTAGGCTACCAGGCATACTGTGCAGGCACAATATTGTAGGCCTAGGAAAGAAAGATTTGTTAATAGTTTCCTGGGTTCTCATATTCACTGTACCTCAGTCATGCATTCCTTTTTGTATAGCTGATGGCCTCTATGCAGGATTTATTCCCTCACTTGACTCTCCAATGTCCTCATTATTTTCATAGTAAGATTAAAAATTTCACACACACAACCCTAATACACCAATGTGAGGTAGCTGAGCCTATCAATAAAATTGTACTTAGGCCAATGATCCTGGTTATTGTCCAATATTAAATTACTCTAGATTTATAATAATTTCTTATAATACTATCCCATAGGTTCACAAATATGTCTTCTATGAAATATTAGGAAACACAGCCCTTAATAGACTTTATTTTATGCATATGTGTTAACAAATGGTCACAAAAGAGCTGGAAAACATAGCTCATATCAGTGGTAAAATTTTACACATTGTATAAAGGAATTTAATTTTCCCATGTACAGAAGAATTGTATGTATTACTCCTAATCAATACAATTAATGTAGTTCTTATTTGAAGTTCGTCTTTTTTTTTTTTAAGAAAAGGTGCATTTCGCCTAGAATCCAAATCAAAAGGGTCTCCAATTAAGAAAACATTTTCTGTTGTGCTGAATTCATGTTACCTTACTGTGAGCTCTGACATTTTGTTTCTGTGGTAACCAAAATCAGCTGATTAGTTGGCATGGCAACAGAAAAGATGTAATCCCAGCAGACACACTCTAATCAATGCCCCTAGCACAGATGGTCTCCGGAGGATCAACAAGAAAGAGGCTGGCAGGCATTCACTATATCACGTGGTAGTGCTAGACTAGGCCAGGAAAAAGAAAACTAAAAAAGAACATTTCTCAAACTAACCAATAGCTTTTTAACCCCTTGCTTGCATTGATAAATTGTAGGCTATTCAGCAAGCTGTACTCATTAAAAGTAACCTCAATATTGCTCTTTTTTTGGATAGGACGCAGTTTTTCTAAAATACGTTTTTTCCCCCTTTTCTGCCCTTCTTGATAGATCATTTCTGAAACCTGTTCCTTTACTTGAAAAACATTTTGAAACTTACATGCATACATAAAATTTTCTCAGAGTTAAAAAAGACAAAGTGAGCTTTAGTGTTATATTGTAAAGTATGGAAGAATGAGTCACTGTCAATGGCAGAGAAAAAGGTATATTCTTATAACAATATGTGCGTGTAGGCTATTACCATTTTTAGTAGCTCCGATCACTTCGAAGTTCATTTATGTTAGGCTATTGGGAAATACAAAAATCACTAGCACTAAAAATATAGCTCAACTTCCATATAATGTTTCAGTATAAGTAAATTATTAGCGTCTGGGTTAATTCTACCAGCACACTGCTTCATGATTTCCACCGTGTGAAGGGGTAAAAAATCGTAAATCCAACCACCACTGGGAACTAACATGGTAGCCTGCATATTTAGAATGTGATTTTGCTATCACGCAAGTCAGTGGCAAAACTGTTAACTGGTACTCTTAATCCTGAACATGAATTTCCATTCTTTTATTACTTTTAATTCACATCCTAAACCTTATTAAAATATTTCTGTTCATTTACTTCCTTTGGATTTTATTAAAAATATGACATTTATTGACCTCTTAGTTCAGTAAGATACTTAAGCACTTGTGTGTCTTTAAGCAGGTGAACACCACCACTGAAGTCGGTTTTGACTACTTGTGCTTAAAATCAGTTATATGCTCAAGAACCTTGTCTAAAAAAGAAAAAAAATAAACATGTCTAATCTCAAATTTACTCAGCACAATCTAATAAATTAACCTAACCAGGAAAATGTAAAAATTTATAGCTTGTGGCTTATTGTTCCATACTATTGATTTAAAACTGCTTAGAGACTTGTTAGCTTACAGACTGTTCATCAGATCAAAAGTGGGTGAGAAACAACCGCAGCATGCTTGGTGCATTAAATAATGGAGTTACTAAAGGAAGAAAAAATCTTACTTGAGAAAATTTTGACATGGGTTAAAGTGGGTGAATTAAATGTAACAGAGAGGTACACATGAGGTTCGAATTTTGTCCCTGGTCCCATGACAGCCGGTCACAGTTCTGCCATTGGGTACATGTCTGGGCTTCTATTGACTTCATTGTTGGCTGTACCCACACATTTGAGGGCAGAATTTGGTTCTAACTTGTTTTTCAATAAGACAAACAATGTTCCTCTTTTCTAAATTGTTCTGCTTGAGGTATTTTATTAAGAAAATGACATTTTAATTGTTCAAACATAATAAAGCCATTTTAGCCATGTTGTATTCCTGAGAGAACTTTCTATTGAAGTATAGAGAAGTACATTAGAATCTCAACAGAACATTAACTATTGGAGTGAGAATGGTGTCACTAAGACCCCAATCCTGTGAAGCCTTATACATTTAACTGTACACATGAGAGTATTCTCTTAAACTGAAGTTAAACACATGTGTAAATCTTTGCAAGACTGAAATCAAACTGCCAAAGTTCATCTCTAAGTAGATGGGATGTTCAACCCATTAAGATAACAGACCTTAGTAGTATTCCACCTTTTACTTTTTTTATTAGGAGGCAGTACTTTCCCCTCTGTAGGAACCATGCTGTAGTACAGTGTGCTAACAATGCAAAACAAATATGTTAAATCAGCAAAAGTATTTATTGAATGCTAGAAACTCCAAAGGCAGGAGTTAGTAAAACTGCTTCTCTGTGTAAGTTTCCACTAAATCAACTGACCTATGTTCTGCCTTTGGCCAAATGCATCACAAAGAGGAGAAAAATCATGAAAATAGCACACATGTTAGTACAGTGCCATGCAGAAAGGACAAATAGCTACACCAGAGCTTCCCTTCCACTGCCTATGGCCACACATCTAGCCATGGCTGTAATATGAAAGTTCTTCATTGGCCAGGTGGCAAGGAGAGATCATCTAAAAGCAGCGGTTTACTTGGCATGCTTCTGTCTCTTTTGGGAAGGGGAGTGGAGAGTGGATTTATGATACAATACATTGGCCATATGCTTGAGTTGGTTGAGAACATTTCAATAAAGCATTTATTAATGTTTTTCTTTTGTCAGAAAATGCCAATTTGTGGAAATTAATTGGTTTTGACCAAACTTTCTCCAGGTCAGGATGGAATCTGTGGTCAAAACACAAGAAGAAGAAAAAGATCTCAGAAGAGCCAATAGCCTGGTGGTTTGAGCACTCACCCGGTATGTATGAGATGCTGGTTCAAGATCCTGAGTTGAAGAAGGGACATGAATGTGGTTCTCCCTCATGCCAAATGAGTGTCCTAATCTCCAGGCTACTTTATCCCTCACCCCCCATTGTGTTTTTGTTTTGTTTTGGCAAAAGAATTCAAGATAACTTGATTTCAATTCCAGGGAATGGATCCAAATGCTGAAACCTCAAAAATGTTCACAAAACAAAATTCTTGTTTTCTGGCCAGCCTTACCCCTAATTCAATCTCAATGTCATGAAAATATTGTGAATGAGATATGTGAACATGGTAGTCAGAAAGTCAGTGTGATCTGATGGAACAAGTTCTACATGGTCAGACTATGTCATGATTACCCTACAAATGCTCAGCCATCATAGCGCCAGCACCTCCATACTCTCTGGCTACACTAGAACCTCATCAGTCCCACATGCCAACAAGGAACATAGAACATGTTCTCTAAAGGCTCAGATACATTTCTTCAGTCCCATCCGTCTTGTGCTTTTCTCCATTCAAAGAGAGGGATTTAGCCATCTGAGATTGTACAGGTTCATACAATGAGAATAAAAGAAGATAATCTGTTATTTTAAAATGAAGGATGAGAGAAAAGTACAGAGGCAGCTGAAACTGTTTCTATAAATTAGGTGTCTTTGATGGCTTAGTTGTATGTTCCTTCTCTTGCAAAACTTCTAGGAAGTTTGTAAAAGGTGCCCACAACGCTTTCCAGTCATGTAACAAATAATAATAATAATAATAATAATGCAAAATCTAAAGAGATGATAGTGTTTGAGGTACTGAAATCAACACATCCTTTCAGAAAAACACAGTAATAATTATCCATCAATACTCCATGAAAACAAAACAAAAGCACCACAATATGTTTCACTGAGTCTTTCCTGTTACCTTGGTAAACATGGGTTTTCCATGCTGGGTGACCATGGTGCATTGATCACAGTCCACTGTGATAGATGAGTTGTGGTATGACTCTTTTGAGTGCTTGAGAACGTAATACAGGTCTGTTACACCTCCTTCAAAGACAGTACTAAAATAACGAGGAATTAGGGTCCTTCCAATGGCTGTGAGAAAAACACAAAACGAAAAATCAACAAATACTCTAGGTTATAACAAACATGATAAAAAATATATAAAATTATCTATATAATTATATATAACTAACATAGTTTGTTGAATGGAGTGAGAGCTATTGAAAGAAAACCAAAATCCCGTGATTGAAAAAGAGCATGACAGCTCAATACTATATATAAATCCACAGGCTAAGAACACAGAGCCCACCAAAGATCACTTTTTCAATTCAAATGCAAATAGTTGCCTATATGATCTAAAATGGCTGATAAAAAGGCACAGGTGTTCAGCCTGTGCTGAGATGGCTGGTTGGCCCAGTGGTTGGCCAACCAACTGAGTGGTGGTTGGCCCAGGTCAGCAGACTTTGGCTTGTGGGACTTGAGCTGTAGGGCTATACAATTGTATTGAAGAATGATACCTAAGGTTTGGCTGGAGCTCAGGCTCTAAGAACCCCATGTTGAGGGGGGAATCTTAAGAGTTCAGGCTCCAGCCCTAACGCAAAGGTTTACTCTGCAATTTTTAACCTCACAGCCATAGCTCAAATCAGCTGACCTAGTCTCTGAGACTCAGTGCTGCAGGGTTTTTGTTGCAATATAGATATTCCCTGACTAGGAGATGAACCATGTACAAAGGTAGATTTGACCAATAGACCAGCCTGCATATGTTTTTTAAACCCCAACTCCTAGACTTCAAGGGACAAACCCTGCAAACCTTGGAAACAGCTCTCAAAGAATTCACATCAGTGAAATCCATGGCAGTTTTGAATAAGAGCAGCGGGACTTAGCTGCTAATAGTAATACTAATAATATTAATACTAATTATGAGTTCAGAATGTTTTTCAGTTGCACTAAGTAGTAGCAGAAACAGACATCCAAGGGAAATGTGTTATGTGCAACTGATGTTTTCTTGCTCCATTTTTGCAGACAGGTTGGCTGCCATCAGCAACTTAAAATAGCAAAACATAGGGATTAGTACTTTATAAACAGATCAATACTGTATTTTTAGAATGACAATTAATATTTTGAGTTTACAGTATATTATGTTTTTCATCTGAAATATGTTTTGCAAATCCCTGTGCAATATTAAGTAAAGATTAACTCCATTATGTGGGGGAAGGGTGAGAAGGCAGATTGTTTCCCATCTCATATAAACTTAAGACAAAAAGTTTAAGTGACTTAGTCTAAGCCAATAGAGAAGTCAGTATCAGAGCCCAGACTACAACTCTAACTCCTAGCTCAGACAGACCACTGAGTTCATGTCTTTCTGTCTTGTTCTGTATGTTTTGAAGGTAATTTTTTAAAATTGACTTCCTTTGGAGTTTTGCTTACATAAGAACTAAGGAATTGGCCCTATTTATATATTTGGGAGTGGGAATTGGGAATTAAAAAGTATGTGCACTTTTGTGAAAGTAGTTTAGGTATTTCTACATTAGTTTCAAAAGTATCATATATACCTAAATTGTCTCAGACAACTGAATTGTGCCAGAAAAATCTGAGGGTTCAATAAATCTCTCTTTATTATAATATAACAGTACAGCAGATAAGTAAATAGAGAAAATATATAAAAGTTTATTAAAAGTTTTTGCTAAGATATTGAACTTTAATATGGCTACAAATGCCTTAACACTGATGTTTTCAATGTAACTTATAATTCTATACTGAAGTCCCTAAATAGAGCTAACAAGTTGATGTATAATTTGAACAATACCATACCAAAAAACCACCCATATATCAAAAGTATGGATTATTTTTCTATAGTATTCAAATGTAATTAGAGAAACTAAAGTCCAGTGAAACAGAAGAAAACTTTTCTGAAGTTTTAAGTAACAATTTCCTATGTTCTTCAGTACAGTATATTTTGAAATGAAACATGTATCCATCAAGTTAATTTGTTGCTCCCTTAAGGCTAATTAGGACAAATTAAGTTTCTTGTTAATCATCCTGTGCACTTACTGCCTGATATGAAAAGCCAGAATTTCTAGTGATTGCAATACATGTATATTCATATTCCTTGTGCAATGCATGAATATTGTGAAAATATTTTAAATGCCATTTAAAATAGTTTGATAAGTGGTTCCCAAAGTGGCCTGGTCACATAGTGCTAGCTTTCCTCCTTGTTTCCAGCTGCTGCAACACATTAAAGAAAGATAAAAATATATTGAATACTTTCCTGTTATTACTTTTCCACATAAGCAATAGCTATGATTGCCACAGGGATGTCATGCAGCTGTGTATGGAAGTGTTAGGGTTCCCACAATCATGAATGGGAAGGGAGGTGTCCCCATGGTTATCTCTCTGTAAAGATGTGCCCCATGCTGTGAAGGAGCGTGAGAACTTTGTTGCAGTATGGTGTCTGTATTTAAACACAGCACACATGCACACTCACACACTAATTATACATCTGTAAAACCAAAACTACCCAAAATGAAATGCCCAAATTAAACAAAAATCCTAACCAAGCTTTCTCCACTTGGAATGGAGCACCTAGAATTGGGATACTGAGGGAGTGTCAATACAAACAATTGAGCAGCATCCATGCTGTGCACTGAGTGAGGCAGGAGTTCTGTGGGAAAAAAGTAGGTGATCTTGTAATTAAAGACTATATCATAATGCATACACACAAAGGGAAGGAATAAAAGTTGCAGAGACAACGTTAATTTTATTTCCTAAGTTTCAAGTGCTTGATTTTGCAACTTGGTTAATGTTATTTTAATGTAGGTCCTTGTGTGTAATTTCCTCTTTTAATAAAGCAAACTGGAAAAACAGCAGTTCCATTATATGGCATATTTACACAAGCAGTTGGTTCACCCAAAAGTCCTAATCTCCCTTCCCAGGTAGTATCTGTCCCCTTCACTCCTTTTCTCCAGTCTCCTTATCCAGCCAGTTCCAGTTTCCCCTTCCTAGGTGCCTTACCCCAACTGTGTCTCTCTCCCTGTCCCCTATTGGCCAGGTCTCTCAACAGCCTCATCCAATCTCAGTCTCATCCCTGCTGCACCATGTCCCAGTCTCTTTGTCCAGCCATTCCCAGTTCTCCTTCATTCTATACACTGTGGCTACGTCTACACTGGCCCCTTTTCCGGAAGGGGCATGTAAATTTCACCAGTCGTCGTAGGGAAATCCGCGGGGGATTTAAATATCTGCTTGACAGACTTCTCTCTCATGCCCCCTTCTCATGTTCCGCCCACCAGTTCCCTGTCCAATCAGTCCTAATGTGCCCCCTCTTTCTCAGCTCTTCATCTGATCTCAATATTTTCCTCCACTCAGACAACTGGCTCCCTGTTTTCTCCACATATACATGTTCCTCAGTGCCAGTCTTCTCTCCACAGATCTCAGACATAGCCTCCTTGGCCAACCAGTTCAAGTTTTCCTTCTTCCAGGGCTACCAGTCCCAGCTTCCTTTCCTACCTGGGTCACAGCCTGCTCTACCCTTGGGTCCTAATTCCTGTCTCCTTGACCAATAAGTCATAGTCTCCACTTTTCAACTCTCAGGGTATGTCTACACTACAGAGTTTTTTCGGAAACACAGCTCTCTGCAATTGTGTTCTTTAAAAAAAAAATTGAAAGAACTGAGGGTTTTTTCCGATATTGGTAAACCTCTTTCTATGAGGAAGAAGCCTTTTTCTGAAAGAGCTTTTTCAGAAAAAAGTGTGTGTGGACGGGGAAGAGGGAGTTCTTTCGCAAGAAGAGGAAAAGAGCACAGGTGCCCTGGTGGCCAATCCATCCAGAGCAATCACAGCTTACATGTGATTTTCCGTTAAAAGTATTTCCGGAAAAGCACATCTAGATTGGCAGGATGCTTTTCCAGAAAAGCACTTTTTCCGGAAAAGCGTCCGTGGCTAATCTAGACACGCTTTTCCGCAAAAAAGCCCCGATCGTCATTTTCGCGATTGGGGCTTTTTTGCAGAAAACACTATTGTGCTGTCTACACTGGCCGTTTTCCAGAACAGTTTTCCAGAAAAAGACTTTGCCCGAACGGGAGCAGCGTAGTTTTTCCGGAAAAGCACTGATGATTTTACATTAGATCGTCAGTGCTTTTCCAGAAATTCAAGCGGCCAGTGTAGACAGCTGGCAAGGTTTTCTGGAAAAGCGGCTGATTTTCCGGAATAACTTGCCAGTGTAGACACAGCCCAACAGTCTTACAGTTTGACAAAATGGCAAAGAAAAGGAATATTACTGAAAATTCGGATGCAGTTTCTTTCACTAAGTGAAAGTTTTTTGTAGCATCTTTCTTCAGAAGGTGTCAGGGAACATCTCTCTTTCACTGCCTTGTAAGGCTCCTGCTGGGGTGTTTGGCTCCCTTTTAAGCTCCACCTCCAGCCGAAGCATGCTCTGCAGTAGGGAGAGCCTGCGCCCAGAATTGTTCCTTGACCCCTTCAATTCCAGTGTGGGGTATACCTCCCATCATACAGGACAACAACTAAACAGCTTAATCTGCAGCAAGGGAAATTTAGGTCAGATATTAGGAAAACTGTTCTAACTATAAGGATAAGTATTGGAATAGGCTTCCAACCGAGGTTGTAGAACCCTAGCCTGTGGTGCTTTAAAAAATAGGTTAGACAAACGTCTGTCGGGGCGGTCTAAGTGTACTTGGGTCCTGCCTCAGTGAGGGAATTGGACTGATGACCTCTCAAGGTCTCTGCCAGTACTATGTTTCTATGAATACCATACAGTATAATGATATATTTATTTTTATGCCTATTTTCAAATATGCACAAGATGCCTGTAAGTGTATTTTTTTAACCGTACTTAAGTATACAGCTGAATTTGAGATTTTCATAGAATCATAGAACCATAGAGCTGGAAGAGAGCTCAGAAAGTCATCAAGTCCAACCCCCTGCCCTAGGCAGGACCAATCCCAACTTAATCAACCCTGCCAGGGCTTTGTCAAGCCGAGACTTAAAAATATCTAGGGATGGAGATTCCACTACTTCCCTAGGTAATCCATTCCAGTGCTTCACCACTCTCCTAGTGAAATAGTTTTTCCTAATTTCCAA